ATTGTGATCACCTCGATGCGCACAGCGGCGGTCAATTTGCCTTGGGGTACACCGGTGAGAATTGACTTTACGAGAGAAAAAATTACGCTGCCCACCCCAAGTGCAGCTTAATTGTTCTGCCGAAAGTTTTCCGAACAACGGCGACGATTTTGGTTTGGCTTCCGACGAAGTCCCTCAGGGTTACCAAGAACGAAGGGCTATTCATTTTTGCTGAACGTGTGATGTTGAGCCGGAACAATAGACCATTTCTTGATACGGAAGTAATCAGGGAAACTAGTAGATTTTATTAAAGGAAAAAAAATTTTGGGGGTTAGTGGCACTTTAATCATCTGTGAACGTTTGAGAGAAATCGGTGAGATGGTATGTGTCACGCCTGCCTGGTCCTCTCGTGGACAGACTCTTAAATCACTTACCTCAAAAGTTCTACTTCCGCCATGATGAGGCTTGCATTTTTGAAATCAAGCACGTCGCTGCAAACCTTTAATGCTACAGTTTGCTCCTTCCCTTGCTTTCTCATCTTCCCTTGATACACAGTGGCAAATGCACCACATCCAAGACGGGAGGGCTTGTCTTCTTTCCAGTCTAACTCCTTGCTGCTGATTTCAATGGCACGGATTTCTTTCAATGCAAATACCGCCAGATGTCCCCTGATATCAGAAGCTTCATCCATGACTGGTTGGTACAAATCCTTTATCTCTTCCTTTGAACGGCCTTCATCACGGAGTTGTTTAAATAACATCTTGTCACCCTCGATCAGCTCGGGAATACGGGCTTCAATTTGCTTTAGACACAGCTTAGCTTCTTTCAGTTGGTCCTTCACAAACACCTTGAGCACGCTTTCGTCTGTAACATCATCGAGGTAGTCTGCAGCTGTTTCAGCCATAAAAGCACATTTGTCTCTTTCGTATTTCTTGATCCTACTTCTATCTTCTATCTTGCTTTTAATCGACAGTATTCCCACCACAGGGGCACCAATTACCAGTGCAACTAGGGTAAGAGGAACCCATATTGGGCTAGTGACGCCGATGACAACCTTTTCTGCTATAGTGAAGCCTTCATCAGCTGGCATACTTTCTGGAACGTCGACGTCATCATCTGTGACAGCACCCTGGAGATTCCGCAGCTGCCCTTCAACAAAATTGTATTTTTGCTGAAAGTGTTGTAAAAGGGACTGGCGAGCATCCGAAAATACTTGGTTATCTTCTTCCCAAAGTTCGATGATTTCTCGCAGCCGATTGTTTAACGCTTTCGCGATGTTGCTTTTAGTCACTTCCCAGGAGCTCTCTGCCATTGGAACTTCGTCTAAGGTCCACGTGGTGAAGCGATTTCTGGCATCGTCTGAGTTAAGATACTCACTGAGCTTCTGGACAGCAACTCTGACACGAGCCTTCAAGTAGTTATGAAGCTCTTCCATGACTTCGGTTTGTTTTTCTTCAATTCGCATCAAACGAGAGATAATTAAAGCCAATTTGTTGGTGACTTTGTCCTGGTCTCTGGAGGCGTTCATCACAAAAGCTTTTGCTTGATAAACTATCCTTGAGAGAAAGTAATCCAGCCATCTACAATAAAATAATAATAAAAAGTATATTATTTAAATGAACAGTTTCTACCAAGCGAACATACAAATGTATGCAAGTTAAAGCTTCGGAATAGTGTTTAACTATCAGGTGTTGCGAAGGAGTAATCTCGCTTGTTGTCCGAGCGACTGAATCAGTTTACAACAAGGACGCTACAATGGACCACCCACGAATTAGTTTTGCGCCAACTTCCTTTGTGAAACATCTCACATGTTTCCTTTTAATCACATGGCATTTTTAAAGTTCTGTCCAACAGATAATAGGCACCTTAAGATACCAGCACGGGACGAGCTAGGACGGCTACCGGAAGTAAATTGACTCAA